GTTCAATCCTGGGTTGGGAAGATCCCCTGGAGAAGGGAAAGGCTACCCTTTCCAGTATTCTGGCCTGGAGAGTTCCATGGTCTGTATAGTCCATGGGGTCACATTGTGTCCCATGGGGACATGACTGAGCGACTTTCACTTTTAGCAAAACAGATGTGACTTGACTTGAAAGAAGAAGTTTTAAGATGAAGCAAGCTAATACAGAATGATTAAAATATACCAGGCCAAAAAATAGTAAGAAATCATATTGATAGGACTTGGTGATCTGGGCTGGACAGGCAAAGATAGAGGAATGATTTCCGTGAAATAAAGGAAGAATAGAGTCTGTACATTTCATATGACACCATTCTTGAGCAATATTAACTCAGAATAAATGAACACTGAATGTAGTCAGGTTAAGATTTTAAATTACAGTAATAAAGAAATATTCAGGTGCTCAGGAGAAAAAAAATATCTACAAGTGGAAAAATAAAGGTGGTTCTAGAGTACTCTCTGGCTGCATAAATCTGTGAAATGTAGTCTGAAATATTCTGAGAAAAAGAAAATATGAGTCAAGAGTATTATATTCAACCAGAAATGAAGAAAACAGGCAGACATTCCTCAAAATGAAAATCTCAGGCAATAGAATAAACACCAGGAGTGTCTTCTACAAGCATAAAACAAGACTAATCACTGGCTAGATTCACCTAAACAAATGATGGAGAAGTTTTGAAAAGAAAAATAAAACAAAATAATGGAGCACTTAAGATCAGATTGCAAGTAAAGCTATATATGTAAAAATTGGAAGAAAGTTGAATGTGACTCCAGAGTTTTCATTCTAGGCTAATTTTTCCTTCAAAGATAAAGGTACATGGAAAATTTAGGAATATAGTATCTATGGTTTCTTACTTTTGAAACAGAAAACCGTGTTTTGTAGTCCAAGAAGAAAATTAGAACAGAAATGTCAGGAAAGAAGTCATAGAGAAAGGATGGTTGGTGAACTAAGGATGCATTTTCATTGTGGATGAGAGAAAAATTAAGGTGTCCTATAGAACATGGTGCTGTGACGAGTCAAGAACCGAGGAGCATACACTCGCCTGGCATCTATGGTGCTGTGACTCGGATTTAACCTGGCTGAAACAACCTCTGCGTGGAAGAGGCCAAGTGCAGCAGGAGTGCAACTCAGCGAAGCTCCCGCGGTAGAAAACCCAGCGCAGGGGAAGGCCCGTCGTGCTGGAAACCGGGGCAGCGGTAAACGAACTCAGCAAAAAGCCCACGCAGCTCAGCCTCAGATTCCAGCAGACTTCCGGTTAAGGTGGGAGGTCCTCGCTCCAATGGCTGGACGGACATGCCTAACAAAATCTTAACTCCTTTACAATCTCTCATTTCTTGTTTCCTTGAACCCCCCGCAAACAGGTGGGCAGCAGTGGGTGCAATTGAGGGTCTCTGGAGAGGTTACTCTTCCGTATGTCCCAAAGGCACTATCTGCTGGGCCCCAGTAGCGGTTACCCAAGCCGGTGGGGGTACTTCTGTCCTTACTCCTCTGTGCCAAGGATCAGGCCAATGAAATATGCGCGCATCGGTCAGATATTTAGCAAATTTTCCGGCAGGCTATGAAGGGGATTCCTTGGCACGTTTTTCCCACTGCTCTTTCCTCCTGTCCTTCAGCTGTAACCCGGGACTCCAGCCCGGCAAAAAGTAAGAGGTGGCTTTGTTACGATTCAGAGAGAAGGCATGCTTCAGGGTGTGGGCTATTGCCCAGGGCAAGGGCTCAGGCCTGGAACGTGGTCTGGATAGGTTTTGCGAGTGAATTCATATGCTAATGAGTGGGAGGATCATCCCAGCCGTTGGGGAACCACCCACTCCTCCCTCTTGACAGTGCCTAGGGCTTCCCTGGTGTTTCAGAGGGTAAAGCGTCTGCCTGCAATGCGGGAGACCCGGGTTTGATCCCTGGATTGGGAAGATCCCCTGGAGAAGGAAATGGCACCCCACTCCAGTGTTCTTGCCTGGAGAACCCCATGGACAGAGGAGCCTGGTGGGCTACAGTCCATGGGGTCGGAGAGTCGGACACGACTGATTTCACTTTCACTTTCACTTTATAGAATATGAGGGCTTCCCTGGTGACTCAGTGGTAAAGAGTCCAAATTCAGCCAATGCAGGAGATGCAGGTTCAGTCCCTGGGTCAGGCAGATCCTCTGGAGAAGGAAATAGGAACTCACTCCAGTACTGTTGCCTGGGAAATCCCATGGACAGAGAAGCCTGGTGGGCTACAGTCCATGGGGTCACAGAGTCAGACAGCATTTAACAACTAAACAACAATAGAACATGAAGGGCTCTGAGAGTTGTACACCCTGTGTACAGAAAACTTAGAGAAGGTCCGTGAGGGTCCATCACTGCAGATGGTGACTGCAGCCATGAAATTAAAAGACGCTTGCTCCTTGGAAGAAAAGCTATGACCAACCTAGACAGCATATTAAAAAGCAGAGACATTACTTTGCCCACAGAGATTTGTCTAGTCAAAGCTATGGTTTTTCCAGTGGTCATGTATGGATTTGGACTATAAAGAAAGCTGAGCACCAAAGAATTGATGCTTTTGAACTGTGGTGTTGGAGAAGACTCTTTAGAGTCCTTTGGACTGCAAGGATATCCAATCAGTCCCTCCTAAAGGAGATCAGTCCTGGGTGTTCATTGGAAGGACTGATGCTGAAGCTGAAACTCCAATACTTTGGCCACCTGATGTGAAGAGCTGACTCCTTGGAAAAGAGCCCCACCCTGGCTAGATTTTGGACAAGACAGAGATGGGAGTAGCAGAAACTCAGCCCCAGAAGGTGTCTGGGAAAGGCTGTGAGTCTCAGCACGGTGCTGGCCAGCAGCGACAATGCCATTCGAGCTTCACAAAGCACCATGAGCTGCACAATTAACAGAGGGCTATTTCACTTTGATTTTTAGATAGTACCGAGAAATAAAAGTAACCGACTTTCAAATGACCACGGGCGGGCTTTCTCCAATTTGTGCTTATTCAAGTAAACCCCAGGTAAAAGAAGCAAAATTATTACCAAATCTGATTCCTAAACCCAAGATAGCAAACTGACCCTGCTAGCGAGTTAGGAATCAGTCCAGCTTCACACTCAACAGGCTGTGAACGGTAACTACACCAATGCTGTATCAGCTGTGCTATGCTTAGTCACTCAGTCACGTCCGACTCTTGGTGACTCCGTGGACTGTAGCCTCTGTCCTCTGTGCGTGGGATTCTCCAGGCGAGAATCCTGGAGTGGGTTGCCATGCCCTTCTCTAGGGGATCTTCCCAACCCAGGGATCAAACCTTGCATTTCTTATTCGTCTGCATTGGCAGGTGAGTTCTTCACCACTAGTGCCACCTGGAAAGCCTATCCAAGCTATAAATAAACATCAGCCTTCTGAATTTTAAAAGTCCAATTCTGTAATCTTTGACATCCCTACTTGTCAGGAATGGTTCAACTCTCAGCAGGTTTCGTTAAAACAGACTGGCATTTTTGGATATTCTTTCTAATATTCCATTTGTACATTTCAGTGCCTTGAAAATGAAGAAAGCTATCTGCTAGATCATTTCAAATGACATCCTTTTAAAGCTAAATTGTATTCTGAATTAAAACCTGCAAAAAAAGATATCACCTTCAAAATGTATTCAGCAGTGCTAGACGAGATAAATGAAAAGACTCAGAACTTGGTTGAGACATGAAATTTATAACTTAAGAGGCCCTAAAGTTAGAATCACCCAGCTAGTCTAAACAAACTTAAATACTATCTGTGTATCCAGATGGTAGGAGAACTCTGCATGTCTGCCTTGAGTTCCTGCCTTAGGTCGGGACCAGGGCTCTTTTTGGGACCCTGGGGATTCATGGTCACTTCCCTGCTGGAAGGAGCCTTCATCCACTGCAAACGCCACTTCCCCTTGAGTTTAACAAACAGCCTGACTAGCATGTCATGGAAAGTACAGAAGAGCTCTAAGTATGGCATCTTCTCCCAGAGCCCATCCTGTGACTGGCATTAGTAACATCTTGCTATACTATGAATGAATTTATCAATAAGCAGTAGATTATATCAAAAGCAAAAAAAAAAAAATCAGGTCCGTAGAAAATAAAAGTTAGTCTCTGTAGGACATATTTGCTGAATGGCTTGTCATCTATCATGATCGGAATCAGAACCCCGAACCAGGGTGGACCTAGAGATTATCATACTAAGTGAAATAGGTCATACAGAGAAAGACAAATACCATGTGATGTCACTTATAGATCTTCCCTTATAGTTCAGATGTTAACGAATATGCCTGCAATGCAGGCGACTGGGGTTTGATCCCTGGGTCATGAAAATCCCTGGAAGAAGGAAATGGCAACCCACTCCAGTATTCTTGGCTGGAGAACCCCATAGACAGAGGAGCCTGATGAGTTACAGCCCATGGGGTTACAAAGAGTTGGACACGACTGAGCAACTAACACAGACACAGACAGACAGACAGGTGGAGTCTAAAACACGACACAAATGAAATGGAACAGAATTTACAGAACAGAAACAGACTCACAGAGAAAACAGACATCGTTACATGGAGAATGGGGGAGGGAAGGGCTAGGAGTTTGGGATTAACAGATGGAAACTAGTATCAACAGGATGGATAAACAGGTCCTACTGTAGAGTACCAGGAGCTGCATTCAAGATCCTGGCATAAATCATAATGGGAAGAATCAAAAAAGAATAATATATAGATGTATGCAGAAGTGAATCACTTTGCTGTACAGCTAAAATGGATGCTATACTTCAATAAAATTTAAAAAAAAAAAGAAATTAGGCATTGCTTTTCCAATAAAAGTTATAACGAATAGAGTGAAAACAGATGATTAAATTACTTCAGAAAGGGTGGTTAAGATAAGAAAGCACTCCTGGGTTTGATGCTTGGAGGAAAGAAGGCAGGCCCAAAGCGGGGCACCGAGGTGGCACAGGAAATCTGAAACCGGTAGAACACTCCCCAGGGGAGGGCGGGCTCCCACCTGTGGCCAGGTAGATGATGTGGACGAGAGCGTCCCGGGCCTGCACCACGTCCACGGCCACGTGGGAGAAGCGGCTGCTGTCCTCCATGAAGGCGGGCACGGGGCTCACCGGCTGCACCACCTCATGCATCAGGATGAACTTCTGCGCGTCCTGCAGGTTCCTCTCCGTGAGGTTCACGTACAGGCCCTGGTCCACGGTGCCGCACTGCAGGGGGAGAGAGGCTGTTAGCGGACCCGGCCACCTGCGCACCCACAGCCGCTCCAGCCAGCCGGGCTGGAGGGCGACTGGCAATCTGAACACCTGTGGTACCAATGTGGCCCCTTCTCCAGTCCCCCCACAGCCCTCATTCTTGGTGTCTCTCCCAGTTTAGATCTGAGCTCATCATATCTGGGGAGTCTTCTCAACTCTCATCCTAAATGAACGATCAGAACAAAATGAAGTGACATCGACAAAGCAGAAACAGACCCACAGACTTAGAGAAGGAACTTACGGTAACCAGGGGGTAACTATGGTTACCAGAGGAACGGTGAGTGGGGGATAGCTTGGGAGTCTGGAATCGACATGTATACCCTGCTATACTTAGAAAGAATAACCAACAAGGACTGCAGAGCAGAGGGAAATCTTCCCAGTATTACCTAACAACCTAAATGGGAGAAGAATTTGAAAAAGAATAGATATATGTGTAAGAATAACTGAGCAGGCTTCCCTGGTGTCTCAGTGGTTCTGCCTCGGGTTCGATCCCTGGGTCAGGAAGATCCCCTACAGACAGAAATGGCAGCCCATTCCAGTATTGTGGCTTGGGAAATCCCATGGACAGAGGAGCCCCACGGGGTCACAGACTTGGCTATGACTGAGCACGCACACACATTGCATTGCGTTGTAGAGCTGAATCACTTTGCTGTATAACCGAAACTATCACAACACTGCAAATCAACTATACTCCAGTATAAAATAAAAAGTAAAAAAAAAATAAATAAATCAACAATCAGGAGTTTAAAAAAACATGAAGTAGGAGTCATTGCTAATTTGAATGGCATATGCATAAAATCTCCTCATCACCTCTAGAGCCCCCTTGGGATTTGTCTGGCTAAATGCACACTGTTCAATCTGCCAGACACATCAGATTCCCAGGTGGAAAATGCAGCCATCAAATGCATCACACAGATTTACTAGCTTTCTTTGGGATGGCGGGTCTATAAGCAAGACATGGATTCTACAGAGTTAGATTTAGGTCATTTTAATCTGTAAACTATGCAATACTGTTCTGCTGTCTTTCACATAAGCTACAAAACGCTATGTTAGCCTTATTATCATGCCCTTATTATCTGGGCTTCCCGGGTGACTCAGATGGTAAAGAATCCACCTGCAATGTGGGAGACGTAGGTTCGATCCCTGGGTCAGAAAGATCCCCTGGAGGCGGGAATGGCTACCCACTCCAGTATTCCTGCCTGGAGAATTCCATGAATGAAACACTATGTTCGCCTTATTATCATGCCCTTATTATCTAACCCAAGCCAAAAGAAACAAAACTCTGTTTAGAGTCAAGCATCTAATAAAAAACATGGTGCTGGGAAGCAAAACGTGCCGCCCCAAAATGTCTCTCTGGCATGTGAATGATTTCTAGAGTGGAAAACAATGAAGGCCCAAAAGACTTGAGAAGAAACGTTGGCCTTCCCCTAAATGCTTACAAAATTTATATAGACGGCCTGTTCCTGGGATAGAGCTATCTCCAGAGATACCTGCGAAGAATAAGGGCAGACTGTAGTGGGGAAAACTCAGCAGGGCCCAGAGCCCAGAGCCCACTCTGTGCCCAACAGTCTCTGCAGGCCCAGCAAACTCTTGTTTACCAAACACTTGCTTTTCCATCTGCAGGTCAGTTGCCTTCCTCCCCTTTGAAGTCTCAAACCACTACCAGCAACATGCTCTTTTATCTTTAGCTGAAGATGATATTTAAGGTGAGGGTTTCTGCCATTAGGGGGAGTTACTGTTTTCCTGGGTCCCTCTCATGTGTATGTGATATTAAACTTGTGCTGGATTTTCTCCTGTTAACATGTCTCATGCCGATTTAATTCTTAGACTGGTCGGAAGAAGCTAGAAGGGCAGAGGAAACTTTCTTCCGCCCTGACAATGAAGAATTTCCAAGAACAGGGGTCTTAAGGAGATAAAGGAAGTGAGAGAGGAAGGAGATGAAGAGAGAGAAAAGGAAGAAACCAGAAGGAAATAGGAAGGAAAGAAGTGGACTTTTCATGTAGAAATACCAGGCAGAGGAATCTGGGACTAAAGCGGGGCAAAAATAAACAACAAAAAACCAAGCCTGAAAACTGCTGAGAATTAAATTCAGAGCTGCGCTGTGCAAAGGCTGGCAGGTACCGTGGAGGATGGTTTGGGCAGGGACAAGGTTAAAAGAGGGGCAGGAAAGCAAGCCAAGCTTTCCCAGGGCAGCACATAGAATCAGAAAATTATCACCACGATTTCTCATTTCTTTCATAAACTTTAAATCCTAGTACCAATAAAGGCTGATCCCCGGCAGAACTTCATAGAGGTAGGGTTGACGGAAATGAATTTCCCTGTCCATTCCATCTGAAAAACGACCTTTATAACATGTCGTTTCTAATACGTGGTTGTATAATAGGTTAGAGGTGCAAAAGTAGACGATGGAAATGGCTTATGAAAAATAGAGGATATTTTTGTAGCACTTGATAAAATAGCCAACATGCCCCCAAAGGATAGGCTGATGGTATATTTAAAGAATATTGGGGTAAAGTGGATGCCAAGACTGGTCCAAAGCTTAGTTTAAATGCTACATCTTCGCAGGGGTGCCCCAGGTACCAGGTGGCAGAAAGGTCGGGTGAAGGGGATGGGTCAGCTCTGTGACCCAGGAGCCATGTGGTCTCAGGGGAGGCCCTGCCTGTCAGTCTTTGTCTCCATCTATAAAGTGGCTAGAAAAACACTTCCTCTGCTCCCTTCAGAGGGCTGCTCTGAGGCCAACTGAGACCATCAGTGGACAGCATTTGTAAATTAATTGAAAGCCCTTGTAAACGCCAAGGAGCCAGGCCATGTGCCTGGCACGGAGAAGCCATTCAAACAATGGTATAAATGGTCCGTGGGTCTGCCTAGTAGCAGGGCAGCAATTCTATGGTCCATTGAGCTGCAGGGGTGAGAGAAAAGTAATGAGTAAGTGCAGGAAGGAAGGAATCAATGAGTGAACACACAGCAGTGGTACTGGGGCAGGGGGGCAGTGCCAGGGGGTTTTATATAATTACCGTACTTAACAATGACACGTGGAGGGCAGAGACACCGCCCGCTAACAACAGTGTCACAAAACGGTCTGAAGTCTGTCCGGGCGAGTTCTAGTTCTGAGAGTGGCCAGGTCTGGCTGTTTTCTCTTCCTGAAATCAGCAGCAATTCTTAAGTCACAGGAGGCGTGGAGCAGTCTGCCTGGGGGATGGAGTTTTCCATCCAGGTTTTGTTTTCTCCACACAGTGTTTTTAAAATTGGCATCATAAAACCCGGGAGACATAATATGAAACTGAGGACCTCTAGCTGCTCTTGAGGAGTCTGGGGACCTGGGAGACTCCAAGACTTGGGGAGGGGGCGTTGCTGGGACTGCAGAGAGGAACCCCTAGCTGCCACCTGTCTTTTTCATGACTGCTAACCTAATCCTAGGCTGCAACCTGAATTGTCACTGTGATACTGTGATTTGCAATAAGAAATATACAGTTAGTTTTCATTCCTGTTCTGTCACAGAGCCCCTAAAACCCCTGACACTTCCTAAGTGAAGAGAGCAATAAAGGCGTCTTTTGTTAAGTTACGGAGGTGACCTCTGGAGCTCACTGAAGGACGGGAATGCTGATTGCCAGAGTTGCCATTCCTGTGGTCAGAGGGTCGGAACTTTTGGTCCCACTGCCCTGACCTCCAGGAAGGAGAAAGGTCTGGAGGTTGAATGCATCACCAATGGCCAAATGATTTAATCAACCTGCTTAAGTGAAAGACGTCCATAAGGCTCCAAAGGGTGGAGCGTTCAGACCTTCTGGGCTGGTGACCATGTGGAGGTTCAGGGAGCGTGCTCAGTGCAGAAGGAGCTCCATGCTCTTCAGCCGAACCTTCCCCTGCTCTCCCTGTGCCTCCTCCATCTGACTCTCCCTGAGCCACGTCGTTTACAGCAAAGCTTGTTTTCTTGGACTCCCAGATCATTGCAGACAGTAATTGGCTGAAATCAAAAGCTGTGAAATCAAAAGATGCCTGCTTCTTGGAGGGAAGGCTATGACAAATCTAGACAGTATATTAACAAGCAGAGCTATCACTTGCTGATAAAAGTCCATATGGTTAAAGCTATGGTTTTTCCAGTCGTCATGTATAGATGTGAGAGTTGGACCACAAAGAAGGCTAAGTACCGAAAAATTGATGCTTTCAAACTGTGGTGTTGAAGAAGACTCTTGAGAGTCCCTTGGACTGCAGAGAGATCAAACAAGTCAATCCTAAAGGAAATCAACCCTGAATATTCATTGGAAGGACTGATACTGAAGCTCCAATGTTTTGGCTACCTGATGGGAAGAGCCAACTCATTGGAAAAGACCCTGATGCTGCGAAAGATTGAAGGTAGAAGAAGGGGGTGGCAGAGGGTGAAATGGCTGGATGGCATCACTGACTCAATGGACATGAATTTGAGCAAACTCCAGGAGATGGAGAAGGATAGGTGAGCCTGGTGTGCTGCAGTCCATGGAGTCACAAAGAGTTGGACACGACTTAGCGACTGAACAGCAATGACATCATAAGTAAAATGTTTGAGCTCTGTGAGCCTCTCTAGCTGATTGACAACCTTAAGCAGGGGGTCCATGTATAGCCCACAGGTCAGAAGCATGCGTAGTAACTTGGACTGGAGACTGGCACTGGAAATGAGGGTCAAGGGGAGAGCCTTGTAGGACTGGGTCTATCAATCATGAGAAATGATGCTATCTCTGGGTAAACAGTGTCAGAATTGAGTTGAATTGTTAGACATCTGGCTTGGTGTTGGAGGAAAAACAGCTGCTTTGTGGTGTGGGGGAAAAAAAAGGCACAGGTTGGAATCGATCAACAGTATCATTAGCCAAGAACAGGTTGAAACTACAGTGTCTTGGTTTTTTAACCAACTTATAATGAATTTCTCACCTGAGGATCCTTTTTCAAATATTTTGAATGGTATTTAAATTTATACCATATATTTATTGGATCATAAGTAATCCACCTAGCTCTCTAACGGGCTGCAAATTCTCTCACCATTCCTTACACACGGGCTCCTGCAGTGTCGGCGTGACACGCCAGGGACTCTGAGGAAGAGGAAAACATTAAAAATAGTAAAAACACAGCCATTGTCCTCCCGTGGCTTACAATCCATAATCATTGTCTTGCTAACACCTCTGAGAGTAATAGATCAATACTTCTACTAATTCTTATAACAATAATATTTGCATTCTTGTTTATTTTTTCCAAGGATGACAGATCCATCCTTACCCTAGCCTGCCAGCCCTTGGTGGGCACGTCCACAATCACTGAGGCTCAGGCGGAGAGTGCTTGACGTCGATGGTACCCTTCCTCCTCTTTTGCTGCAGATGCCTATGGTGTACTGAAGGATGCTGATGACTTGGACAGGTCCCATCATCTGGTCCTCCAGCAACGGCCTGCTCATCTGCTGGACCACTTTTGAGGGTCTGTCTTCCATTTCAGTTCCATCAATTTGATTGCTGATAATCAAAACTGCACAGAAATTTCTAGAGTCTGTCCCAGTGCAGCTGTACCACTGAGTCGGGATAATGTTTTCTGTAATTGACTGAAGCTTTTCTTTGTGAGGCCTAGAGTCTAGACGGCTTTGGGGACTCCAGCTCTAACAGGGACGACTTTCACAGCATGACCTGTGATAGTTTCTAAATTGCAACTGATAAAAATTAATAGTATTATATTTTGTTATTATTTTCAATAGATAATTTTGTATCAAATCTTGCAAAATTACTCAGTGTTCATCCTAACCCATTCTTCCTCCTGAATCTGAGTCATGTATCTGATCTTTTAATTAATTAGCTATTTCTAGTACATATGTGCTTAGTTGCTCAGTTGTGTCTGACTCTCTGCAACCCCAAAGACTGTAGCTGGTCCGGCTTCTCTGTCCATGGGGTTCTCCAGACAATAACACTGGAGTGGGTTGCCATGCCCTTCTCCGGGGGATCTTCCCAACCCAGGGATCAAACCCCAGTCTCCTGCAATGCAGGTGGATTCTTTACCATCTGAGCTATCAAGGAAGCCTTCTAGTACATAAGCACTGCATAAAATTCCAAATCTCAGTAGGCAAACAATAATTTTAAAAAATCTAACTACATCTAAGTATTGGTTTTTGCAAACATAAGGCTCTTTATACACAGTTAGCAGATGGACCCTTAATTCACAACATATCCCACTCCCCACGCCAGTGTGTGTGGTTCCATAAAAGTCAGCCAGGTTGCCTTAAGTTAGCATGGTTATCAAACATGGTAAACCAAAAGAAAATATTTACTACTCATGTATATCAGGACTTACACAAAGAATCACCATAATGTAAACTTTAGTTCCATGCAAATCTTAAGTACTACCCAAAGAAGACAAACTCACTGGAGCAGGCTCCCTGCCTGAAATGCACGCCACATTCTGCAGGCTTCATTCATTACACTGCATGGCCCGACTCCCATCTCATAAACGTGAGTAAGCCCTTCAGCGGGACACTGGCATTATAAAACCAGATGCCTGTGGCCTCAGGAAATGAGGGGCTTTGCTTTGTGCTACAAATGTATTCAGATAGAGGGGCTAAAAGTTATCCACTGCCCAGGGGTGGTAGGCATCACAGAGTTTATTAAGTCACTCTTCACTGTGAAGACGTTTGCAATTGAAACATCAACTACATTAAAAGAACCCTAAAATACTGTGAGCTTCTTTGATCATCTTTTTTTAAACTTCAGGATTTTACAATGGACTTTCTGAAAGGAAATGATATATTTCACCTTCCTGGTTTTCCAGAGGGCCTTCTCAAACAGCTACATCACCCCAGGATCCAGGGATACGGGTGGGATTTAAATGCAGAGACTCAACAATGGGGCACAGAGAGTCCGTGTTCAGTTACTAACCACATGAACCACATATGTCATCAGGAAAAGTGACGACTTCATGTCTGGTTCCCACTAAACTGTTTGCTTGCCTGGATTTCTTTGTCTAGTACTGAACTTTCTTAGTAGGGAGACTTGAATAATAACTATAAACTTGATCACTCAGTTTCCTGACTTACAAGTGGGGCTAATGACACCCACTTTACAGAGCTGCTGGGATGACAAAATATGACAAAGTAGCTACAAACAAATAATCCTTAAATAGTCCTCCTTGTTATGGGATGCTAAATCATTTTCCCAAGTAAAGCAGTAAATGGTAAAGTGGACATGTAAGCCCATTTCTATTCTCAGCATCATGATCTTTATAAAAAAATTTCAGAACAATTAGAATTGAATGATTCCTGTCAAAGTACAAGTAAAATGTAAAATAATTGAACTTTTCCATATTCCTAGTTTTCTCAAAAGCTAGAGGTTTTATGTGTTGGGTTGTCAAACCAACCAGAATTTGGAGGCCTGAATACATGACTTGGGTCTAACACTGACTGGTTACGAAAACTAAAGCTCCTCTGGTTGGAAGAGGTTGAGGCTCTGCATGTGAGGACTGGGCCTGGGAGCCCAGCTCAGCCACTGAGGAGCCCGTATCCTTGCCCTGATGACATGCTCTGAGGCTCAACACCCTTCTCTGTCAGCGGGAGCTGTTACCAATCATACCACAGTTGCCAGAAGGCAGCAAGACACATGGAAGCATTGAGCCCAGTGTCTGGAACTTAGCATTTCTAAAAATTACACCCACAGTGATGATGGTAAAGATCCTAAGACAGTTCTTCTCAGAAGAAAGGCACTCCAGGGAAGTCTGCTGGTATGCATGAATGTCAGAAAAGTGAAAGTGAAGTCACTCAATCATGTCCAACTCTTTGCAACCCCATGGACTGTAGCCCACCAGGCTTCTCCATCCACGGAATTTTCCAGGCATGAGTACTAGAGTGGGTTGCCATTTCCCCTAAAATTCATATGTTGAAATCCTACCCCTCAAAGTGGCTGTATTAGGAGCTGGAGCCTCTAAGGAAGTGACTGAGGTTAAATTAGGTTAAATAAGGGTGGGGCCCTGATCTCATAGGGTTAGTGTCATTTCATGCTCACCTAGGGAATGCCACATGAGGACATGGTGAGGGAGCTGGCTATCTACAAACTGGGAAGGGAGCACTCTCCAGAAACTGAATTGGCCAGAACCTTGATCACGGACTTCTAGCCTCCAGAATTGTGAGAAAACAAATTTCCAGTCTGTGGTGTTTTGTTACAGCAGCTGGAGCTGAGTAACACACCTGCTGGCTGACCAAACAGAAGAGGGCTTGGTCTCTTGTGGTTTCAGCTCCCTCTGAACTTGGGAACATGAGAACAGATGATGTCAGAGCCCCTGACGGCTTGAACACACGGCATTTGGTGCCTTATACACGAATGGCCTCCATCTGCTCCTGTTTTCTCCACAGCCGCCCCATCACCCCAACAGGAAATCTCACCGCGTACCCAATTAGAGCTCAATTCTGTTTGTGCATCCCCACTGCTCTGTGTCCTGGACCACATTCATTACAGTGTCATTCATTAGGAGTCAGAGCTCCTGGGGACACAGAGCCCACCATCATTAGTGCTAATTGAAGCTGGATTCCCAACCTGCTGCATTGTGCTGGCCTTTTGCAGTCCAAGCTCAGGCATCCCAGCTGACAAAAGACCCTTTGAAGGCCAGGCGCCTCAGTACACAAAAGGCGGTGGTCTATTTACATGAGACAAGCTGAGTGAGGGGCTGGGGGTGGGGAGCTCACAGCTGCACTGGGAGAGTTCCAGGGTTTCAGTGGTTGGCCCTAGCCTGTCTGTCTGCACAAGGTTTCTGCCTGTTATCTGGGGTGGGGTGGGGGGGTGGGGAATGACAGAAGGAGAGACCCTTTGTCCCCAGAATTACCTGGAAGTTGGGGTTGGGGTTGGGATACGGCAGCCAGGCGGACCTAGAGTTCTCCTGGTACTTGAAGGGCCCGTTAAAGGCCTGGGAGATGGCGCTGAGGTTGAAGATGCACACGGCCGAGGCAGCGATGCTGTTCCTGGGGAGGTGAGGAAGAAAAAGGAGACGGCAGGTCAGAGAGCACCCTCGGAGTCAACCTCTGCTCCCCATGACAGATTCTGGGTGCCCAGGAAACATCTTTGAGGGGAACACTCAAGATCAGCAGGAATAAACACCCCACAGATGAGGTGGAAGCAGTGAATGGTGTTCCTCTGAGGTTTTTCTTCCTCCAACATGTCAGTCTAGAAACAACAGTTATGATGCTTGTAATCCCGCCAACAGGATGGATTCTCCCAGCCAGTGTGGGAGTGGTAGAAGCTTTTGAAGAGCTGTATGTTACGCCTTTAAAATTCGTGGAGGAAATAGAGTTCCTCTTCTAGGGCATGGGCCACCCATCAGCCTGGCAAGGCTCTCTCTCACACTCTAATCTGGGCACTTTAGCTGGCAGTGGGGCAAGTTGCCGCTGCTTCTGTCTGTAAAAGCCCCAAATAGTTGTGAGTATTTGTTATCTTTAAAAAAGAAGCAACTGAAAGCATTTTGCAACAAGTGCCTGTCAGAGATCCTTCAAATATATGTACATGTATATGTGAAAAGTATTTTAAATTCAAAGGGTCAAAACCAAATATTTGATAGAGCACTGACATAGGACCTCTTGAAGCCTTAATTCAGAATTCAACCTTTGCAGGACCGAAGGCTGTCAATGCGAGGCTCTTAGAGTCCAGGGCAACTGCAATATTTTTTTTGGTTAAGTAAATCTGCATTGAGAATTCAGCTATGGTTTTAAAATTTCATGTTTATGCTATTAGCCAATAGTATGTCTACTTATCAATTGTATTTTCTGAGGCAAAGAGAAAACAAGAAACTCTAAAATGTGAATGTCTACATTATCCTTGGTTCATCTGAAAAACACAAACAGGTGGTAAATATTTACAAACTCCAATTCATCTATTAAGGGAGGGGACATTCACTGACCAAGAGAGGTTGAGACACCTGCCCCAAATCACCCAGCCACTAAATGGGGGAGTTAGACTGAACCCCCAGGTGGGTTGGCACCAAAATGGAAATTTTGAATTCTTGGTGACAGCTCTGTGTGGACAATAACAAAAGACACCCTGTGGAAGGTCAGAGCCTTGAAAGCAGGTATGCCTGTTCCCTCTGGAAGCCCCAGAGAAGAGCATCTGGCGGGAAGACTCACCACCGCTGCTGGTGGATAAAATGATATAAATGTGAACTCATTGCTAATTTTACTCTCTGTGCATTACCCTCGGAAAACAAGAAGATAAGCCAGAAATGTCTAAAGGTAGAATTAGCCTTTGGACGCCTGACTAGACTTCAGCAAGAACCAGAAGACAAGTCTGTTAGGACGAGGATGGCCGGCCAGACCCCCAGGAGGGACGTCACCCAGGGACCAGGTGACCAGGCCTCGGGTCTGGCACAGCGACAGCGAGGGGCTCGCCTCTCCGAGCCCTGTGCTAAGTGGCCGACAGGGACCTTCTTGTTGAGCACAGGGAACCTCTAGCTCCTGAGACCAGCCTGACTTCACAGATGCATGGACAAAGGTGCAGGGAGGTTCCTGAGTCCACATCACAGGCTGAGGGGAAAGAAAGCAGGATTTATACCTGCTTTGCAGGGGGCCCTGGTGTTCCTGCCTTTGACCCCATTGCTATGGCTCTTTCTCAGGAAGGGAAGACACTTATCCTCCACCTGTCTGCATCCATTTCTCAGTTCATTGCACTCACTCACTCTGAAGGGCACTGAGTGGGATATCTGATGTCAACCTGGATGCCCCAGGGGCTGTCATTCTGAGTATCCCTAACACGTGTTGGTAGGCACGTCTTCCCGCCTCCTGGAGAGCAGAGCCCCACTGGTACAGGTTATGTGTTCTGTGCACACAGCACACACACACACATACACACTTTCCTGCCTATCCTCTACCCTTTAACTTGCTGCAAACTGAGACGGGTGAGGAGGAAGGACATGAGTGACCACCCCCTAGCAGCTCTTCACCCACTCTTCCTGGGATGGGTCTGCCCGCCACAATTGCACATTCACCTTCTCCTGTTGGTCCCTGCAAGTAGTGGTGGTCAGCACAGGTCTGGTCTACCATGACCTTGCGGACAAGTCTGCTGAAAGCTGGGGTCTGTGGTGATAAATAAATTTGGCTAACAGACCTTCAACCACATGTTGCAAGCTGGTCTCTGTCATGGAGATAGTACTGCTTTATCTAATGTTCTATTTTCTTTCTTTCCCTATTCAGAGCCTAGGCATGTAAAAGTGGAGGTAGCCCCTCCCTCCCACTAGGTGAGCCCAACAATATGGGAACTTAGAATCTGCTGGAAGCCACTGGTAGAAAAGTAGAGAAGTTTCTCTTAGCTCCTTGCCTCTTAACAAACGAAGAAAACTAAAAACTTTAACCCTTCCCTACTCCCACAACTGTATTATCTGAAAGCCAGCATTTTTAGATTCCAGGAGAAGAAAAAAAAACCAAAACAGGGAAATCCTTCAGAGACTCTGTTGCAGGAATGTACTATTTTCTGCAGCCCCATCCATGCCCCAGGGTTGAGAAAACCAAGGAGCTCTAGCTGGAGAAGACTCTTCAGAGTCCCTTGGACTGCAAGGAGATCCAACCAGTCCATCTTATAGGAAATCAACGCTGAATATTCATTGAAAGGACTGGTGCTGAAGCTGAAGCTCCAATACTTTGGCCCACCTGATGCGAAGAGTCGCCTCATTAAAAAAGACCCTGATGCTGGAAGATTAAGGGCAGAATGAGAAGGGGGCAACAGAGGATGAGATGGTTGGATGACATCGCCAACTCAACAGACATGAGTTTGAGCAAACTCCAGGAGATGGTGAAGGACAGGGAAGCCTGGTGTGTTGCAGTCTATGGGGTCACAGAGAGTCGGACATGACTTAGCAGCTGAACAACTAGGGACAGAATGAGCTGGAACACTGAACTTTATCCCTAGTCCCCTGTGCTGGAGACCAACCAAACCTATGAGCCTAAGCACTGGAAAGCTCAGCTAGTGCAGTTTTAGCCATCAGTTCAGAGAAAAGACACAACTGGTACCTCAAACTGTCATTTTCTTTCAATTTCGAGCAAGTCTTGCCAAGAATGCAGTCATCTCTGAAGAGACAGGAGAGGGAGCAGAGGTGAGACATATGCCGGGATTTGCAATGGATAGATCAGAAAGCAGTTCCCAAGACCTACTGAGAGTAAGTGCTAGAGAGAGACATGGAAGGACTAGTGATTCTCTTTCTGTTAGTATAATGTCTCTGTATCAGGTGATTTCCAACACGATGAGCATCTTCAACACTAAGGAAATATTCTGGATAGCCTGAAACTTATCTTTGCAGGTATCTAAATAGACCACTCACCCTCCTGGAATGGCCCAGGCACAGAACTTCCTCAACTTTTTAAATTGTTCGCGGTTGCCCGCAGCCAGGGCAACGAACAGCTCAGTAAGCCAAGCTCCCATTGTGTGTAAAATTGATGTCAACAGAGCTAGTGAACATTCATCTTGTGCAGCTTACACTATTTCTTAAATAAGGTTTTGGAAAGCAAATCAACTTCAGAAGCTATACATTGATTTTTTTTTTCCCCCCCAAAGAAACTTATCAAGGAGAGAAAATAACCTCTGGGTTTGAAAACCAGATTTATAACAAAGTCCTGGTGGGGTGGGGGTGAGTAGGGAGTCATCCATTTTAGTCTTGTTTTTCTAACTTTGCATCAGAAAGAAGACTCCTCGCGGAACAAACTTGTTAGGAAGCAAATGTTAACACTTAAGCTCAGCAGTAGGAAAAATGGGAGGGAAGAGTAACAAGGAAGTAAGATGCAGATGAAGTGACTCTTCAGAAATGCAATTTGTGGACAGCCTTCCCAAGTGGTTCAGTGATAAAGAATCCTGCTGCCAATGCAGGAGACACAGGAGACATGGGTTTGATCCCTGGGTCAGGAAAACCCCCTGGAGGAAGAAGGGGCAAGTCACTCCAGTATTCTTGCCTGGAAAATCCCAGGGATAGAAGAGCCTGCATTCTTGGCTACAGTCCAAGGGGTCGCAAAAAGTCGAACACTATTGAGTGACTGAGCATGCACCATTTGGATGCAGAGGGGATGAAAACAGAAGTTGGCAAGACTCAGGAAGCTGAGGAGGCATGGTAGAGTGACCAACTGTCCTGGTTTGCCCAAGACCAAGAGGCTTCCCAGCACAGAGCAGGCCTTGGTGTTAAAAGCTGTGATCCAGGACAGACCCGGACGCTTCACCATCACACCTCCATGATTGGCACTTCAACTTATCCTGACTCAGATCCTTTACCCTGGACACAGATATCTGGCTTTTGTCCAAACCATTAGGTCACCAGATGAGAGATTTCAAAGGTGCTGCAAAGCAGATATCACCCTGCAGAACCATCATGCCTACTGCGAAAGCAGAAGAAAGTGAAGCTCAAGTCTCTGTGATTTGTGGCGGTGGGTGCCATCTCATGGAGTCTGAGCACGTCAGCTAAGGAAGGGAATTAAGTGGAGAGTCCTGGCACACTCCCCCAGACAGAATGCGAGGCAGGAAACTGTACATCCTATACTTAGTCCAAATAGTGTCAGTTCTGAAGGAAGGGTATCTCCCGCAAGAAATAAAACACTGTAATTTTTTTTTTTGCAAAAATACTTTAAAAGTAGAATCATTCCTTTAGAAATGTCTAAGTTAGTCATCGAATATAATAGGGTAAGCCTACTTATGTGCTCTTCCTACATGTACATCTGAGTTAAATTTAGGTTATCGCAAAGAGCAGGCTCTCCAGACAACACTGGTTTCATTATGCAAAGATGCATGACTTATGTATAGGCTAAAAGAAAGAGACCTAGAGGGGTAAGATGGGGAGAGAGGGGGGATGCATATATAACTCTGGCTGACGCATGTTGATGTACAGCAGACAGCAACACAACAATGTAAAGCAATTAACCACCAGTTAAAAATAAATTAAAAAAAAAAGACATCTACTATGTTCTAGCATTTCAGAACGGGCTCGTGCCCAGAACACACTAGTAAATCAGAAGGAAAAATGTACAGAGAATAATTGGAGACTACCATAACAGAAGGATAGGTCAAAACTTTCTGAGTAGCTTTATTTTCCTAACACCCGTCTCAGAAATCACATCCCTTTTGGTAGCACTGAATTCACACTCACATTTTCTTTTGGCTGTTAGCCCAGGGAAAGAAGAAACATTTCTGTTAAAGCAACTTGTAGAGCTCAAAGGGCAGAGAACAGTAGAGTCATTCACCAGGGGCAGAAGAGCAAGGCAAGAAGGATTTGCAGTCACGTACACGTTGGTGGTGAAGATGCCATAGATCAGGTCCAGCTCAGGCAGGAAGAAGGTGCCCTGGAGCTCGTGGTAGTAGAAAGGGACCTCGCCCGGGCGGGAGCAGTTGAGGCGGGCCTTCATGAACGTGGTCCACGTGTCCTCCAGCAGGAAGCGGCCCCCGATGTCGTTCTTACACACCCGGGCAGCTCGGGAGAACACGGTCTTCCCACAGTCGTGCTCCACGGCATTTTCTCGGAAGAAGAAGTAGGTGAAATTTCCGATGTCGTAAGAGGACACGAAGTTTGGTTCTAGAAACGTACAGGAAAGAAGAAAGGGCTCAGCTTACTGGACAGCATGCAAACTCTGCTCAGCGTTACCTAACAACCTAAACGGGGAGGAGTGTGAAAAAGAAAGAGACACGTGTTTCACTGAATCACTCTGCTGTACGTCTGAAACTAACACAATATTGTAAATCGACTATGGTGGTGGTGGTTTGGTTGCTCAGTTGTGTCCGACTCTTTGTGACTCTCATGAACTATCTATCGCCCACCAAGCTCCTCTGTCCAAGGGATTTCCCAGATAAGAATACTGGAGTGGGTTGCCATATACTTCTCAAGAGGATCGTCTGGACCCAGGGAGTGAATCCGAGTCCCCTGCATTGCAGGCGGTCCATTGCAGTTGGAATTTTTTACCTACTGAGCCACCAGGGAATCCCCAAAACTATGCTCCAATGTAAAAAAGAACGTTGATTAAAAAAGCAGGAGCGAATAAAAGCCTAAACATCCATGAGCTACTCCTCTGTGTCTTGCCTGCTCAGTATTTATTCCAGAGAGACTTGATTTTGTGTGGATAACACTGTGGTCTTATAGAAGGAACACAAGGCCCCAAAAGCACCCTAATGATCTACACTACGGGGTGGAACCTGGTGCGTGAGATCTATTATTTAGTCGTTCAGTCATGTCTGACTCTTTGCGACCCCATGGGCTGTAGCCCACCAGGCACCTCTGTCCTTGGGACTTTCCAGGCAAGAATACTGGAGTGGGTTGCCATTTCCTTCTTGAGGGTATCTTCCCAGCACAGGGGTCAAACTCAAGTCTCCTGCATTGGCAAGTGGACTCTTTACTGTCTGAGCCACTGGAGCTCACGTGAGTTCTAAGTGACAGGAAATAGCCAGTGTGATTCCACACATAAGCATCCCAAGTTATATAGCACTTAGGTACATAGCAAGGCTTCCCTGGTGGCTCAGATGGTGGAGAATCTGCCTGCAATGTAGGAAACCCGGGTTCGATTCCTGGGTTGGAAAGACCTCACCTCCTGGAGTAGGAAATGGCAACCCACCCCAGTGTTCTTTCCTGGGAAAACCCATGGACAGAGGAGCCTGGCGGATTACAGACCATGGGGTCGCAAAGAGTTGGACACGAATGAACAACTAACACACACACAACTTTTCGATAGGTATATGACATTGATGCCATCAAAAATGGGCAGCAAAAATTTGCAATACACTTTAAAGCCATATACAGTACTTTATTTGTATATTCTTAATAACCTTCAGAAACAGTGGGAGATGAACTTATTTACAGAACAGAAACAGACTCACAGACTTAGAGAATGAACTTATAGTCACCGGAAAGGAAGGGTAAGGGGAGGGATTGATTGGGTGTTTGGGATTGACTGTATTTTAAATAGATGGCCAAGCAGGACCTACTGTAAAAAAATGAAAAATAAAAAAATAAAAAAGAAAGAAAAAAATTAGACAGAGATTCCCAGCAATAATAATAAAATAGAACAATTATTATAATATACCATAATAAAAGCTATATGAATTTGGAAAAAACAGTGGGATAAAAATATTAAAAACATGAAATGTGACTCAGAATATAGAGGTATAGCATTAATATCATGCCTGTTTGTGTAGAAGACAACAAAATTCTTTGATACTTATATATTCGAGTATGACTTTGGCATAAATTATGTGCTTTTAGTAAGGACTTTAAAAATGTTTTTCATTTGTGAAAACTGAAACTATAGGGTTAGTGTCCTGAATCAGCTTTAGCCATTCCTGTTACTATGGTGACCATGAAATGTGATAATCAATTCTTAATTCCTTATTTCTTCATTTCTGGGGAATTCATTTAGAGGAAGGGAGGGTATTGAAATGGAGGCATTGCCTTTCTGAACTAATGATTAGATCAAAATTATGGACTTAGAAATGAAAAATTATGGCAAACCTTTACTTAATCACCATGCTCATCAGGCATTTAGGAATTTATTATAGATTGTCAACAGAACTTCGTATCCAGCACTGAAAGCATTATCTTCATAACTCGCTGTTTGAGCCTGCTGATAATAAAGATGTTACCCTCTCAGACACCATGCCATGCGTGCTAAGTCACCTCAGTCGTGTCTGACTCTGTGTGACCCCACGGACTGCAGCATGCCAGGCTCCTCTGTCCAAGGATTTCCCAGGCGAGAATACTGGAGCAGGTTGCCATTTTCTTCAGCAGGGGATCTTTCCAACCCAGGGATCAAACCAACGTCTCTTAAGTCTCCTGCATTGGCAGGCGGGTTCTTTACCACTAACACTAGGTGGGAAGCCCCTGTCAGACACAGGTGTGCCCTAATACTTATCTTTTAAAAACTCTAATAACCAGGTTTGATTCTTATGCTTTCCTCGATTGCTGAGAGTTTTCTACTCAATCAGCAAGTGTCTTAATTTATGGTGCAATTAAGATAATAGGAAAATATCCTTCAAAATTAATGGAAAAATACACACAACTGTATCCACAGGGACTGTGTATCCATATTTCAGGGACAATTGGTTTTAGAGGACAATTCAATTGGCCTTGTACTTTGTCAGATCCAATCATATTGTACCAACAGACATGTTATCAGCAGGACAACTAAAAATAGGTTTGGCTGCAAGATGATCCATTTATGTTAAGTGTTAGGCCTGTTTTAGGCTCACCTAAGATCTGAAACGCAGACACAGATCCCGAGACCGGCATGAAGAGGACACGGAGTACTATTCTGTCCTGAAAGGCTGATGCCAGCTTTTAGCCGAATTTGACTGAATTTCAATCAACAGTTGATGTAATCACAAAATGTTTCAAATTCATTCAACTTCACAGCTTCTCTGGGGGCTGAGATGGTAAAGAATCAGCCTGCAATGCAGACCGGGGTTGGATACCTGGGTTGGGAAGATCCCCTGGAGAAGGGAATGGCTACCCACTCCAGTGTTCTTGCCTGCAGAATTCCACAGACAGAGGAGCCTGTTGAGAAACAGTCCATGGGTCGCAGAGTCGTACACGACTGAACGACTAACAATTTCACTTTCACTTTCTCACGTTCTAAAAATGTAAAAATATTCTACTATACGTTGTATGTGTCATGTGCTTCTCTTTTTAGCTCATGATATTGTTAAGTAGTTTTACATACACGAAGTATTAATCATAAAGATTTCAATAAGAACTGATTTTATCAACTGTTAAACATAGTATCTGATCACTTGCTTTAACTTGAAATAGATATTTAAAAAAAACACCCTGGCTTGCATTAAAATATATGAGATGGAAGTTAGACATATTTACTGTACAGTCTGCTTTAATATCCTGGAAAGATGCTCATAAAAACAGGCGGGGACACCTCTCAGATTTGTGTTTTTGGAAAGAAAAGCATAATATTGGGGGAGTTTTGAATCCATGTTCACTGTGTGTCTCCCAAAGAGAATTACTCACTGAAGCAGACCCACAAAAGCAAATATATGAAACAATTACAAGACTCTATTGAGTTTCTAAAGCTAATATTCACCTGGATGCCTAATTCTGAAGAGAAGGCTAAATCTCTGCAGAGCAGGTTCTGCACCCAGGCTCATATAACCAGACTGCAGTTTGCTCAGTGAAATGGAGACAAACAAAAACCCCCGTCATCACCAACAGACTTTATGGAAAATGAAGAAATGGAAGAAAGATGTAGGCGTGTCTAGCTATAGCTCCCAGCACGGGTGGATGTGGTGTGAGACGGAGTCCACAAGCTTTATCAAGCACCCTCATGACTACCTACTTCTGCCAGTAACTCGGGGCCACACAGCATGAAAACCACATAGGAAATATCTGGAGGATCCAGGAAGCCTTGAGGAGGAAATCAAGGAACTGAAAACATAAAAAAGATCTGCCTTGGTATCTTCCAGCTCAACGTTGGTCTATAATTTAAAAATCTCTGAAGTGAAGGGGAAGTCACTCTCTCGTGTTCGACTTTTTGCGACCCCATGGACTATAATGGAATTCTCCATGGAATTCTCCAGGCTGGAATACTGGAGTGGGTAGCTATTTCCTTCTCCCAGGGATCCTTCCAACCCAGGGATTGAACTGAGGTCTCCCACATTGCAGGTGGATTCTTAACCATCTGAGTCACCAGGGAAGCCCAATCTCTACTGAGATTAAAAACTCTAAAATCTCTATTGAGTGCTAAACTCTGGTGTAAGGCTCCAGGCTGGGTGCTTCTCTTTCAGAAGCTCAGGAAGCTCACAGGAATCATAGAAGGAGATGCTTATGTTACTCCTCCACTTTCACAGGTGAAGACACTACAGCCCAGAGGAACCTGACCAGGTTCACACGACCAGCATCCAGGTGGGGGTTTTGTCCTGAGTCTAGGCGGTCTGACCACAGACCCTGTACACAGACCATTACACTACACTGAAAAAATAATGGGCTGCAAGAGGACCATCAGTTACTTCAACAACATGGAAGAACAGGTCTCGGAATTCCAGGCAAAGTTTCAGAAACCACAGTGGCGGCTGGGTTTTACTGAGGACCAAGATGAGGAGGGTCTGAGAACAGACCAGAGGGGAAGAGGGATGCTCAGATAAATCTTTACTCTGCAGCTATCAGAGACATCAAAGATGCCACAGAAAGAAGAGTGAGAGGAAGGAGTCAACAATCCCAGGGCTCATTAAACAAGAATAGTCTGGGAAGTGTTTGTCCCGATTCTAGAGAAGATGCTTCCTATGGCATCCACCAGAGCAAGGGCACATCCACCAGTGACCGTGAGAGCCTCTATCCATGTTCATCATCCACTCCGCTGAACAATCTCACCCAGATTTCTCATAAAGGAGGAGTACTGAGTCATGCCTAGCAGACTCGCCCATGGGTTCCTCTTTCCCTGGAGAACCTCCAATATCTCTGCACACCACTCTAACCCATTTTATGATAGGGTGACATAGAGCTTTTTAGATAAAAATGTGCAAATAGATTTCTTTCCTATTGCAAAAACAAGGGAAGAATTTGTGCCTGGAATGCAGCACTGGACA